AATCTCACTAGCTATTTTCCTATTACCTTTCACAGGATAGCTGAAAATGGCGTGGTTATTGATGCTACAGCAAACAGCCAACATAAGTATGCCCACATTAGGAAAAAAACCAACGTTTCAATCTCTTCTATGCATCAGTTAACAGCTTTCCTTCTTTTCCCCCTTTAGGGTATACAAAGTAAGAGGTGGCAAGGGGGGATATTTTTATAAATAAATATATTTATATATTCTCTATTTGCTAAAAGTAGAAAGTATAAAAATAAATGTTTAGGTCATTAATATAGGAAAATGTGTTACAAAGGACATAATTCTTGGGTTCCACACATAGCCTTCCTAACATCCAGTTCATGAAATCATATAATTCCGTTCACATGAACAAAACAGCTGAAACATCATCCTGTTTGTCAAGAAAATAGGGGTTTGTTTTGTTTTGGCATTTTGTTACTGTCATTGTCAACGATCTGACGTATATCGGGAATTGATCTAACTTTACAGAACTATGGCTCTCTTCCAGGTGGTTGGCCAGGCAGCAGTCTCCAAATTCCTTGGCATAGACTTTTGTAAGATGAGGCTCTCGGGTGGAAAGGCACTCAAATAATGACTGGGGAAGACCTTCCCCTCCTTAAAGTCCTTCATGTCACAGATGGAGAAAAGCTTTCATCCAATAAAAGACCTTCATTTGCTAAGATGGCATGACTCAAAATTAGCAGGAACAGCTGCAAACATCCATTAATAATCAGAACGTGGAATGTATAAAGTATGAATCTAGGAAAACTGGAAGTTGTAAAAAATGAAACGGAACGCATAAAAATTAACATCCTAGGCATTAGTGAGCTGAAAGGAACTGGCATTGACAATTTTGAGCTAGATAATCATACAGTCTACTATGCTGGGAATAATAAAGTGAAGAGGAATGGTTTCACACTCTGGTATAAAAGAACATTTCAAGATCTTAAGAAACTATACTATCAGTAACGAGATAATAAAGCATACAAGAAGGCTTGTTAATAGGACCATTATTTGAACCAAATACTAAAGCCAAAGATGGAGAAACTGAGGATTTCTATCAACTTTTGTGGCTTAAAAATGATTTAACATACAAGCAAGATGCATTAATAAATGGGGATTGAAATTATACAAGTCAGAAACAAAAAAGAAGAATTGAAGTAAGGAAAGATGGTTTTGGTGAGTTGAGGTAGCATCATGTGTATCATCCATTAACAAGAAGAAAGGTCATTGTTGTTGTTGATTGCCTTCAAGTCAAGCACGACTCATAGTGACCCTATGAACAAAAGGCCTGCAGACCCTCTAGAACTATCAACATTTATCAAAGTTCATAGAGTTTCCAGAAGCATGTTGCTTAGGAAGTGGATACCACTCCTGCTTCCAACCATTTACAATAGCCAACCACAAACTGAAATACTTGGGAGTGAACCTAACTAGAGATACAAAAGACCTATACAAAGAAAACTACAGAACATTTCTGCAAGACACAATAAAAGCCCCAAAGAAATGGGAAAACGTGCCCTGTTCATGGATAGGAAGACTCAATATTGTGAAAATTACAATCCTACCAAAAGCAATCTAAATGTTCAATGCAATCCCAATTTATATGATACCAAATTCATTTTTTCCAAGGAGATTCAAAGGAAAATTGTCATGTTTATTTGGAGAGAAAAGAGACCCTGAATAAGCAAAACACTTCTGAGAAATTAAAAATGAAGGGGGAGGAATAGCACTCCCTGAATAGTACTCAAAATCTACTACACAATAGTATTAACTAAAACAGCTTGGTACTGGTACAATGACAGGCACATAGACCAACAAAATAGAACTGCGAACCCAGAACACAGCTATCTATGGTCAACTGATATTAGACAAGGAAATAAAACTTATCAAATTGGGAAATGACAACTTCTTCAACAAATGGTGCTGGCAAAACTGGATTGCTACCTACAGTCTTGAAACAGGATCCACATCTCACACCATACACAAAAATCAACTCAAGGTGGATGAGAGACCAAAACTATAAACTTCTTAAGAGACAAATTGGGATTAAGCTTAGAAGGCCTCGTCTATGGTATAAAGAGACTGCCAAACACAGCCAGAAATGCACAATCTGAAGAGGATAAAACTGATGAATGGAACCTTCTAAAAATTAAATCCTTGTATACTTCAAAACCTTTTTCCAACAGAGTGAAAAGAAAACCTACTGACTGGGAACAAACATTTGGCAATACCATTGCAGGAACAAGTCTCATATCGAAAATTTATAGAATAGTCCTGGGCCTCCACAAGAAAATGACTGATAATACAATTATAAAATGGGCAAAAGACATGGAAAGGCTTTCCATGAAAGAGGAAGATATTCGAATAGCCAGCACATACATGAAGAAATGCTCTAAATCACTGGGAGTAAGAGAGATGCAAATCAAAACGACAATGAGATACCATCTCACTCCAGTAGCAGTGACAAAGTTTAACAGGACAGCTAGTAATAAATGTTGTAGAGGATGTGGAGATATAGGAATTCTTATATATTGTTGATGGGACTATAAAATGGTACAACCACTCTGGAAGGCAGTTTGGCGTTTCCTCAAAAAGCTGAACACAGAAATTCCATTCGACCCAGCTATTTCACTGCTTGGAATATACCCCAAGAAAATAAGAATTGAGGCACAAATGGAGATTTGTACACCAATGTTCATATACAGCTCCAGGCATTAATAGAACCCCCGAAGGAGGGATACTTGCCATTGGGCTGTTAAGTGTGCTCAAGCTGTCGACCTTTACAGGTTAGTGCCACTCAGTGTCCGTGAGGTCTACGTAGGCTCATGTCTCAACTCCAATCCTTAGTAACCAATAGTTGATTTTTCTCTGCAAGTTTCCTTTTTAGTAAAATGAGTCTAATAAAGATACTCCATCAATACAATATAAGTCTAAATGGAGTACAAAGGTATATAGTTTTGGTTGTTGTTGTTGTGTGTTGTCGAGTCTCCTGCGACTCACAGTGACCCTATGAACAACAGCCCTAAACCCTGCTCTATCCTGAGCCAATCTTATTGTCTCCGACACACCTACCCCCATTTCCCCAGTCACTGAATCAGTCCATCTCATCAAGTGTCTTCCTCTCTTGCACTGTCCATCCATCCTCCCAAACATGACATCACTCAAAGGTGTCTGGTAGTTAGATAACAAATATTAGCTGTTTATTATTATTATTATTATTATTATTATTCTCATGTGTTATTAGCAAGGACTTGTACTGCAAACCTCAAGTCACAGAGTTCAAATCTACTACTAGCTGCTCTGAGGGAGACAGGCAGACAGTTTCCGCCTGTACAATTTGCTGTTTTGAGAAAACATTGGCAGGTCAGCTACAAATCCGGCCCAACTTGATGGCACACAACAACATAACAGCATCATCATTAATAGTAGTGTTACTACCATCAAAGATTGCAAAATGAAGTCTAAAGAGGTTTGGGCAGGATAATTTAACTAGCTAAGGACCCTTATGGTGTAGTGTGTAACGTGTTGAGTTGACAGCAGGTTAGAGTTCAAATGCTCTAGTCTCTCTGTGTAAGAAAGTTAGGTAGTCTCTTCCTTTAACTAATTTATATCCTGTATAAGGATTTCTTCTACAATTAACTTGAAGAAGTGTACAAAAACTATGCACAAAAGGATGCTTTGATTATTGGCAATAGCAAATCTTAAAACAATTCTGATTGAGAAATTTACACATTCACACAATGGAATACTATGCAGCACACACGAGCAATAACTTTGTAAATTATTACCTAACTTGGGAGGGACTGGAAAGTATTATGTTGAGTGAACTAACTCAGTCCCATAAGGATAAATATTGTATAAAACCATTATAGCAGAATGAGTATAAGGACCCAGGAGGGGTTGGAGAGTCTGGAAGCAGAGGGATGTCGATGTGCAGGGGGAGGGAGAATTAATCATTGGGTTGTACAATCTGATGGGTGGTGGGTGAAGGAAATGGAAAGAATTTGTTCAAATTTGTATTTGAATTTTGTAAATAAAGGGAAAAAGAATTCTGAATGGGGAAATTGTAATTACGAAGCATTTCATAAAATAGAATAGTCAAGATATAGACAATTCTTCTACACATTATTAAACAAAAAGGCAATCAAGTTAGAGAAGCATTTGTGCCACAGTCACCCAGATGTGCTTAATAACCAAAGCTCCAGGGGGTGAGTGAACACCCTGTCCCAGGGGAGTAATGTGTGCACTGGAACATGGACGGTATCAAGCAGACTCTCCCAAATCTTGCCTTACAGGTCTGGATCCTCCTGCCCACTAGTTTGAAAACAGCCCTTTCCTTGGTGTTTGTGAATCCTTGCAAGGGATTATGAGCCCAGGTGTCACAGTGGTTAAAGCCCTTAACTGCTAATCAAAAGATCAATGGTTTGAGTCCATCCACTGTACAATATGAGAAATATGTGGCAGTTTAAATTTTATAAAGATTTTCTGTCTCAGACCCCCTATGAGGCATTTCTACTCACAGGGCTTACTATTAATTGCAATCAATTTGAAGGCAGTGGGTTTGGCTTCCAAAGGATTATCAGACCCTAAAAAAAGAAAAAGGGGCAGTGCTCGCTGACCTGGCCTCTGATGGCAGGGGATGAAAGTGGACAGACCTACAAAGAGCAGCTTGGGCTGAGGTGAAGACAGAAGGGAAGCAGGGGTTTCCACAAGATACAGTTGGTATATGGGATGGGATTCGTTATCCTCACACATTTGGCAAAAAAGGCAGGTAATCTTAGTATCTTTGGGCAACATAACTGGCAAGGACAGTGGGACTTGATTTATGTGGAAAGCTAAGTATATTCACATTTGTACAGAAGAAAAAAAATAACAAGTTAAAAGAAATAAAAAAATTTGAAGACATATAAGTAGGCTAACAGACATGGAGTAGAGCAACTGAAGAGGAGAGAATGTGCAGGCTTTATATCCGCACAGTTGAGCACTCTTACCTGACACTCAGCACTACAGTATTTGGCAACTTGGCATTGAGAACATCGTAGCAGTTTCTCCTTCCTGTTAAAAAGAATAACAAAAATAATTAATTCTACTTTACGAAATAGTGAAAATCATATAGAAGAATACATTTATGGGAAGGATCGATGCCTTTGAGCTGTGGTGCTGAAGAAGAATATTAAATATACTGTGAACTTCCAAGAGAACAAACAAGTCTGTCCCAGAGAACGTGAAACCAGATTGCTCCTCAGAGGCAAGGAGTGTGAAGCTCCTTCTCACATACTTGGGCATGTTGCCAGGAGGACCCAGTCCTTGGAAAGGGACATCATACTTGGAAGAGTGGAGGGACAGCACAGGAGAGGAAGACCACAGATGAGATGGTTTGACACAGTTACTGTGGCAATGGGGTCAGGTGTCTCAGAGGAAGTGAGGTTGCCTCAGGATAGGCAAGGTTTAGAGCCATAGTTCATAAAGTTGCTATGAGTTTCAGTCAACTCAATGGCACAGAACAACAATATATTAGTGCTGCTGTTGACTGTACTCTAACCCATGGCTACCCTTCATCATGTTCCAAAGTTGTAAATTTTAAGTAGAGCAGACTGCCCACCTTCCTCCCATGGAGCAGCAGATGGACTTGAACAGCTGATCCTTTTTAGAAGTTTAGCGTGCCCCCAGAGCTCTTAATCCTCCACACATAATGTCTTCTAAAATTAAAACTCACATATTCATGAACTTTCACCATTGAGTCTAGACCACGACATATTAACCAATGATCTTTTTCACATAAACCACACTGTTCCTCAGAAGCAAGGATTCTGAAGCTTCATCTGACATACTTTGGGCATGTTGCAAGGAGGGACCAGTCCTTGGAGAGGGACCTCATGCTTGTAAGGGTGGAAGGAAAGTGCTGGAAAGGAAGACCCTAGATGAGATTGATTGACTCAGTGACTGGAGAAATGGGGGTAGATGTATCACAGATTGGCTCAAGAGAGAGTAGGCTTCAGAGCTGTTGTACATAGAGTCACTATGAAATGCAAGCAATTCGACAGTACATAACAACAATAAAAATACAAAGAGATTTCTGCCTTAGGCAAAAATTGCACTTCCTAGAAATGTTAGTTTCTCCACCTGTAAATCAGAATCAAGTCCATGAATTAACGGATAAAATGGTATGCTATGGGAATAAATAATATGTTTTAAGTCATTATTTAAAGAAAGTGGGGAGAGGGAAAGGAAGAAGAGGGGATAAAATGTGTAACAATAAATGAATGAAAATCTAACTTCTCTTTAAACTTCTGTTAACATCACAATTAAAATAAAATTTTATTAACAAAAAATGTAAAATCTTTCTGAGAAACAGTTTCCACTAAATTTTATTACTGCCATAGATTAAGTTGAATTAAAATGCTCAAATGCTTCTACCCACATACCATCGCAGTAACAAAAACAAACCACAAATGAAGGAAAATATTAACTATGAGTTTAATCCATAAACCATAAAATTACAAGTGACAAACCATATATGAAACTATCGACATTTTCAAGGTAGCTAAGGGCATGCAAAGTCAACATCAAAGGGGAAAAAAAAGACCTGTTTCAAAGCATTTCCAACGTGCCAGGCACGGTTGAAAGGCCTTTACATGTATTAGCTCACATCATACCTCAAATCATCCTATAAAGTAAGCATTTTTCACGCCCACTTTAGAGATATTTCAGTATCTCTTGAGAGAATAAGTAGACGGAATGGTATAAGCTGTCTAAAGCAGCACAGTACACAGTTCATACGGCAGGTAAAACTGAATAGGTAAGAGGAGAATGTGATAGATTAGAACTTAACACCCCGGTGCCTGGGAAAGCAGGGGCTAGGCAAGGAGCATAAAGCAAGGGAAAGGGGATTAAAAAGTCTAAAACAAACCTAATCAAACTCCCCCCCTCACCCCCGTCCCAAGAACAGATACAGAAATCCCAAACAAAGCAAGTCCAAGGACTTTGGCCCTAAAACTTCCTATTAACATAACAGCTACAGGTGTGTCACAAATTAGGTGCAGGAAATGTAGTAAAGCATATATGACAACAAAGTGGGTTATATGTATTTGTGGGGGTTTTTTTTCATCTCGGTAAATATAATATTGTTATTGTTGTTGTTGTTGTTAAGTGCCATCGAGTCACAGGTGACTCACAGCGATGCTATGAAGGAGAGTCATCAACACTTGTATTACATAATGTAAAAATACAATACTTATGCTGAGTGAAATATCTCAGTCACAAAAGGACAAATATTGCTTAGGGCCACTACTGTAAAACAGGACTGACACTGGGGTTGAGGGAAGACAGAGAAAAAGGGGACGAACAATGAACTACTACTACATTGCAACAGATGAAGAAGAGAACTGTTTAAAAGGGCTATATCATTAGGTATAATTGTCATGACAGGAGTCCAGAATGAAGGCTGCACAGTGCAGTGGACTTGGGGGGAGGGACTGCATAGCAATGAAAGAGTTTTTCTTATACTCATCAAGGAAAAAAGTGAATTGGGGGGAGGGAGTGGGCAGGGAGAAAAGTGCAACAATGAATGACTGGAAACCCTAAGTCTCTGTAAACGTTCATTAAAATTAATTTAAAAAATTATACAATACTGTAGTCAATGAAGTTTGCAACTCAAATGTAAAAACCCAGAGCTGTCAGATCAGAACAAACTCATAGCTGGCCTCCAGTGGGTGTTCTGAAGCTGTGAACCACACAGGAAGAGACTAGCCACCCCTCTCCTTCAGAGTTGCTGAATGATCAGAACTGCTAGAGAGAAGGCATCATTGGGACAAAGGAGCCACTCCTGACAGACTCCAACACCACAGCTAATGGTAGAAAAAAGTCTGAAGCATTTCAAGAATTATCAGACTGTGACAGAAAGATATACAGTAATGACATGCTGTTGGGGGAAATGATGTCCACAGACTTGTGCTGCATAGAGTTGCCCCAAACCTTCAATTTATCAAAAACACAATACTGTGACACACAAGACATTTAAGCATGCCTGTATGCCTGTCTGCTATCACACTCTCACAGGCTGTTTATGAGGATGATTCAAATAAAAGGATACTTCCAGGTGCTATGAAAAGATATTCTAGGTAAATAGTACCTGGGAGGGGGAGGAAATCCTAAGCCTGTGCAACTGTATCAATATGGGGAGGGGGGGGACTTTAATGTAAAAAATAGCATGAGGAACAGAAAAGGGATATATAAGAATTACTCACTCATCACCACTGAAGTTAATTTTGACTCACAGGGCCCCTCCCTCAGGTTGTAATGGCTATAAATAGAAAAGGGAGGACACAGCCCATCCGCCTGTGAAATTGTGGGGACACATGAGACTATCATGAGAGAAGTTGAAAAAATGCTCTAATGTATCATGTTGTTGTTGTTCTTGTTCTTGTTCTTGTTATGTCCAGTTGAGTCATCTGCAACTTACAGTGACCCTATGTAAAATAACTCTGAACCCTGTTCTATTCTGAGCCAATCTTACTGGCTCCAACACATCACCAAAACAGAAAACTATGGGCCAATATCCCTCATAAACATAAATGGAAAAATGCTCAATAAAAATTCAGCATGACCAAGTGGGATTCATAACAGGTATGTAAGGATGGTGCAACATAAGACAAACAGTCAGTGTAATTCATCACATTAGCAAAGCAAAACCAAAAACCACATGATTCTATCCATTGATGCAGAAAAGACCAACACCCTTTATTTGTTGTAAAACACTCAATAAAATAGGTATAGAGGGAGATTTTCTCAACATAGCAAAAAGTCTACACACAAAACCAAGTGCAAACACCGTTCTCAATGGAGAGATTAAAGGCATTCCCTTTGAGAGCAGGTACTAGGCAAGGATGTCGATTATCACTTCTCCTATTCAATAGTGTAGTGTAAGTTTAGCAAGAGAAGTAAGACAAGAGAAGGAAATAAGAGGTATCCAAATTGGCAAAAAGGAGTTAAAATTATCTCTATATGCAGATAATATAATAGTATACTTAGAAAACTGTAAAGACTCAGCAAGAAAACTACTGGACAAAATTTACTAATTCAGCAAAGTGGCAGGATACAAGATCAACATAGAAAAATCAATTGGATTTCTCTACAGTGACAAAGAACATACAGAAATGGAGATAAGTAAAACAATACTCATCACAGTACCTAACCACAAGATTAAATACTAGAAGTATAACTAGAAACACAAAAGACCTATTCAATGCACACCCATGTTTATTGCAGCTTTGTTTACAATAGCAAGGAGTTGGAAACAACCTAAGTTCCCATCAACAAACAAATGGCTAGAGAAGCTGTGGTATATTCACACAATGGAATACTACGCTGCATTGAAAAACAAGGAACTCATGCAATATTATTCAAAATGGTTGACTCTGGAGAACATTATGCTGAGTGAAATATCCCAGTCACAAAAGGACAAATATTGCATGATGCCACTGTTGTAGAATGGGACTGTCCTTGGGGTTGGGGAGAGACTGAGTAAGATGGGTTCAATAATGTATGCTGCTCTGAAACAGTGAAGGGAGAAAACTGTTTTAAAAGAGATATGTGAGATTGTGTACCAATGAGGGAGTTTTTCTTTTGCTTTTCAAGGAGAGGAGCAAACGGGGGGGTGGAGGGGTTTGTGTGGGGAGAAGGGTGCAACAATGAATGAACGGAATTCAAAAAAAAAAAAGTTTTCTCACAAAAAAAAAAAAGAGAGAGAGATGTGATTAGGTATTTCTGTCATGACAGGAGTCTAGAGTGATGGCTACATGGTGGAGTGGACCTGGGGGAGGGTTTGTAAAACAATGAAAGAATCTTTTCTTTTACTTTTCCATAATTTTTGACTCGTGTACTTTTAACTTGTTAGTTAAATTTGTGTCTTCTAGGTTGCAACACCCCCATGATACATCTTCAAGGATATGAACATGTACAGCTAAGCACAATTAATAACAGTGCATCTAAATTCCAAAATCAATCTCCATAATAGTCTATGTGTTTCCTACTGCCAAAGGGGCCCTTTAGAGTAG